GAAACCACCAGCCAAAGATAAAGCGCTTCTTGGCTCACCATCGAGGAGTAATCCACTCTCCAAGGATAAAGATGTCTAAATAGGAGTTATCCACTTTCCAAAGATATTCACTCACACAAAAGAAAATCTCATGTATTTTCATTCATCAAAGTCTTCTCTTACAATAGAGAACTCTCCTCCTTCTATAAAGGGACTAAGACATAACCAAACATTAAAGAGACACAAGAACTAGAAAGCATTTTAAATACCTAGGAATTTAGGACTTTGACTCTTGAAATTCAAATAATTATCAAGACTCCTAGGAACTATAAAGTGCAATAAAGACATAGAGACTTGAAATTATGACTCTTCAACCTTGCAATTTATCTTCAAAAATTCGTCCACCTTATTTGAGCTGAGGATAACCATCTTATTTAGTCATCAAATGTTATAAGAAATTGCTTGGAACAACCTCCCATCGATATGTTGTTGATCCACGTCGAAATCAGCAACTAATCTTGGTGAAATGATACTAAATATCTGAACGGGTAAAGAAGAATCAACAACTCCTTTAATCGGTAACATGGTCAATAGTCTCCTCATTGACAACTTCATTCTTTGACCCATCAAAGCAAGTTATAACCAAAGTCAGCTTTGGCTCGGATGATCATTGATAGTGTTGGGCTCATCGATGGAATCAAGTTGGAACTTAAGGAATGTTTCATAAAATCATATGCTCCCGCATCATGATCATATGCACAAACCTAACTGACATATATTTCAACGAGACATAAACTATTCATTCTTGTTTACAACCCTGGCCGAGGATTTCAATACAATGTCACAATTAGATCGCATAGGACTTCATTATTGTTTCTTGTATAAAACAAGAAAACAGATTACATATTGCGCACGCATGTACCTTCGTATATGAACAAATTATGACCATCAAGTACAAAGGCAGTTTGATGAAGCGTCAATTTGTGCACTTGTGAACCATAGCCATCCAACATAGAAGTCAGCATTGTGCCTCAGGTCTAAGGATACATGAACGATTAGTCATTGACTCCACTAAAAGCTTCCATGCTGCTAATCGTTATGTGCATGTTATGTTCAGTGAACTTATCCGATACAAGCTCATTTGTCTTAGCTCAGGTATCACAATAACCAATGACTTGTGACTCATCATTCCCTTATGTATCCAATACAAGATTGACAACACACCGATTTCAACAGGATCATTAATATCCTCTCAATGATTTATCGAGCAAGAACTATTTAAAGACTCAGTCTAACTGTAAACATGTCACACATATTCTTAACACCTTAAAAATAGGTTCAGTTGCAACTGATTTTATGAACTCATTCATATAAATGGGACAATAAATGAAGATGTCTTTGTCATTATAGAAATAATACAATTAAAATCCCTAACATGTAACTATTACATAATTGCTTTAGGGCATGTAGCAAATAGGGCCAACCCACAACTATGTCACCATTGTTGCAGGTCATCCCCCTGGTGTTCCCGCCCTAGGGGCAGGCGGGCGCTATGTTGTTTTACGTGCACGATGGCAAAGCAAGGTTGGTAATCGTATTGGATATTGACAGGATCGAAACTTAAGTTCCGTCCCATTGCCGCTATATATGAAGACGAAATTTGTATTTTCGTCGTCATAGCAAGCGAAGCCGACAAAATTTTGGTGATGAACGTAGGTTTTAGTGACGAAATTTTAGGATCTATGGCAACGAAATTCTCCGTCCTCGCAGACTAGTTTTTATTTAGTGTTTTTGTTGGTAATTAGAATTTGCGCACGTCTAACAAATGATGATGCTACTGTATTGAATTAAAGGAATAGAGTAGTAATCTAATGATATCAAGGAATAGATACGATGCTTTTGTCGGTTCTAACTAGTTGATGTTTGTTTTAACTAATAAGTGAAAGGTATCGTACGAAATAAAATAAACAAAAAGTATAACTAGTTCTTAGACATGAGAACCGTTATACACTCGAAAATGATGTTAAATAGATATTTATTATTTGGCCTATTTGAACATAATTTTTTCGCCAATAAACATTTGAATGAGCTAAGAGCAAGTTTAATGAATTTATCGCCCATAAAAGTACTATAAAATAAAAGGATCCAAAACTTAATAATAATGAACTATTTAAAGGAACGACTGAGGACATGTTTAAAAACATTTCTATTTCTATGTTTTTCTGTTCTTTTATCCCTCGAAACAGAAAAAAAAAATTTGTTTGTGTACGTTAGCTAATTTTTCTATTTTCCGGAATAGATCAGTGGTCAGAGAATAGATTTGGAATAAAAGTAAGAAGTAAAAAAAAATCTAATTGTTTGTTCCCAAGAACAAAAAAAAAAAACAATGCCATTTTAGAGAAACGAGTTCAGCGTAACCTAAACCTTAAATCCAAAAACTCTAAGCTCTACACTTCAACCCTTACACCCGACACCCTAAACCCTTAGTAAAAATTAATATGATTCTTTTTTATATACTTTTTTTGCATCAAAACATTTTTTGCTTAAATTCACACCGAAACTACGACAAAAGGGAAATCATCCTTATAGAAGAGACTTTCCAAAGAAAAAAAAATTGTACATTGGACAATGAAATGATCTTTACTATTTACATGTTTCAAAATACATCACGACTCACACATTTGGAGCATGCACGTAAAAACACAACTGTACTAGCAATGGAAATTGTATCAAAATTTCCAAAATGTGCGATATCTAAATTTTAACTATTTAAAATAATTACATTACTTGTTATAGTGTGAGTAATATGTAATTATCCAACATGTTACTAACTATTATTGTACAGTTCATAATAATACATTACTGATGATTATGATAACAAAATGGTGGTGTTAGTCTATAAATAATTTCGCCATTCAATATTAGTTTATTGAACTTTTATGTGTTTGAATATTAAATAGAAGGACATGCATAACATTATATTTATATCGACAACCAAAAAAGATTAACACAATAGCTAATTACGGATATATAAATGGGTTAATACCACGAAAAATCTCAAATTTATACACCTTTGAGAAATTTACCTCAAACTGATCTTTTGACCGCTAAAAAACTCAATTGGCACACTTGTGACAAATTAACTGCAAACTAATTTCTTGACCACCAAAAATCTCAAATTGGTACTTTTGTGACAAATTTACCCTTCATTAGTTTCCGTTTAATTGGATTAATACCACGAAAAATCGCAAACTGGTACACTTGTGACAAACGGAAGGTAAAATCCCCAACTAGTTCACCCGTCAACTATGACGTATCATCTAACTCGGCAATTTAACGGTAAGATTTTAAAGAAAACTAACAGAGGGTAAATTTGTCATGAGTATATCAGTTTGGGTTTTTTGTGGTATTAACCCTATATAAAATGCTATAATATTGATATTCAATTAAGTGATTAATAAATACTAATTATTAATTTTAGCAAAATTACAATTAATTGATTATAAGTCTATATAATATTAGATTTTACGATTAAATTCATAGACTATGATTACAACAACTTTTAGTAAGTGGTAATTTGTATAAAATTATGATTAAGCTTAACTTTCGACCTCATGAAGAATAACAAGATAAAAATAAAATGCCATGTCATTGTTTGTCTTGGGGCCACGAAAATGAAAGTACCTAAATATCTGCAATCAAAGAGAGAGAAAGTAGCTTTGAGTCTTTGACTAGTCTTTGACTACCACTACAGTCCTTTTCGTTAATTGGCAAAAGAACAATTGATAAAACCCTCGATCCTGCCTTTATTTGATTGGCCTAATACCCTACAAAAATTCTCAACTTTAGCTACGACCCAATTCTATCCTAAACTTTTTTTCGTCTCCTAAAAAATCGTCAAAAAAATCACTAACTTTTACTTGAATCCCAAATCTACCCCGCTAACACTGCGTCCAAAATCACTCTTAATGATGTGGCATTTTCACATTATTGCTCCAGTTGTTCCCCAAATTTCATATTCAATAAGGTGTCTCTTAGAGATGAATTTTCACATTAAACCAAACGAGTCTTCTTGGATTTGAAATTTAGGTAAAAACTAGAGCAATTAGGGTTGACCTTCTTCAATTGCTTTTACTTTTAAGAGAGTCTTCCTTCCATCATGCTTAGGAATTTTCGATTTTGCTCTCGGTTTTTAATTTCTCATGCTTGGAAGTCTTCCATCTCTTTGTAGTTGGAGAGCTCGCGCTCAGGACGCTCAAACAACTCAGGCTCGAGAGTTTCCATCTCTTAGTTGTCGAGAGAAATTTTGGACGGAGAGTTAACAAGAGTAGATTTGAAAATCAAGGAAAAGTTAGTAGTTTTTTATGAGATGAAAAAAATATTAGGGTAGATTAGGGCTAAACCTAAAATTGGGAATTTTTTATGAGACAAAAAAAAATTAAGGCAGAATAGAGACTGGATCTAAAGTTAAAGGTTTTTTTATGGTATTAGACATTATTTGATTTGGGAAATTGGCTAATCCCATTAAAAAGATCCTAGGCTTTTTTCCGTGAAGCCCGATACTCCAAATGTTTTTTCGACTAGCCAATATCCCAAATTTGTATTAGTGATCCAAATATGCATTCATTTAAGTTCCGTCAATAATGACTATTAAGAACATTGCCAGGTAAAGGAATCTAACCTAACAATGGATGCACGTTGCCATGTTGATCCGATGTAGCTACACACGCCACCATATCAAAGTTTTCAGCAGCCGTATGGATGAAAGTCTAATGAAATGAAATTTTTTTTTTATTGGAGTAAGATCGAAGCTATTAGTGAGACGGGATATTAATATCCACAAAAATAAAAATATATATATATTTAGAATTTTCTATGACATTATCCTTTACCAAAAAAGATCTTCTCCCACCAAAAATAAAATCCAAAAAACGAAAAGAAAAGAAAAGAAAAAGCCCTACACAAATAAACCATCCAAATCCCAATCAAAAGTCAAAAAAACCTCCCCCTCCTTTCCTCCCTCCACTCCACCCGCCCCAACCGCCCGCCACAAATATGCCCGCACACACAAAGAGGAGAAGCACAGAAAACAACAGAGGTTCCCTTCCTCCTCGTCCCGCCATGAACGGAGCTCGCCTCGGCCGGGAGCGCCCGCGTTAGCGCGCCGCCCGGAGAGCCCTCAGGGGGTTTGCAGGCCCGGGGGTCGCTCCGGTGCCGGCGCCGGCGACGGGGCCGCGGACCGGCGAGGGCGTCGGCGCCGGCCCTCTATAGCCCCAAAGCCCGTCGCCTCATTCGCTCGCGATTCGTTCCTCTCGCGGTTTCATCTGAACTCAGGCCCGAACGCCACCAACGCTGCCAAATTCCCACTTCGTTAAAGCGTCCGATTTTATCCGATCTTGAAGGATTCTGGAGTTCACTGAGGTGCGAGGATTGCAGGTAGGTTTTTGCCAAGAGCTGTAATCGGATTTTGAGTTTGAGAGTCGTGTTTATGTGGCTTGTTCTTTTTTTGGGGCTTGAAGGCTGTTTAGAGTAATTTTTTGGATGTCTGAATTGAAGATGTCCGGAGGAACAGCGCCGACTGTTTCATCGGAAATGCGGATTCATTTCGTTTGTTTTGCTTTGCGCATTGTCTGCAACGGTGTCTGATTTGCTGTTACTGGCAATTACGGGTGGTCGATGTGATGTTAGAGGTGAGAATTTTAATCTTGCCGCTATCCTGTTGCGCAGCTGGGCACCAGTGATCTAGTTCCATGAGACAGTGTGTCCCTGCGAATGTGAAAGTCGGAATTACTGAGAGTTGCTTGATGGGGTTTGGTTTTGGGTCTTTATCTGTTAAAGCTGGTTTGCTTTGTGCAGACCCTCAATTCCTTTAGTATCTCTAATGTCGACCTTTATGCCATAAGTTGACGTACTTATCAGTTGAAACTTCAAATTTGTTTGAGTTCAGTTCTTCTACTTCAGTTTGTGCCGAACCAAATTGTTTTGACCACTGCATTTGTCTTAAATTTCCAGGTCTCCTCCATGTTGAAAATGATGACTGAGAGTATCAAACCTGCAGAAGCTGACCTGGTTAATTCTAGCAACAGAAAGATATTCGTGCAGGAAAACTCAAAGTTGCCCAACAAGGCTGTCACTTTTTCGATGAATATGACCGAGCAACAAGAGAATCCGTTACAAGCAGATTTGATGGCACAAAGGTCGCGTTTCAGAAACCTAAAGTTGGAAGAGGGGACAAGGAACAATCCCTTTGAAGTGAGCATCGTGGAGAGAAGCAAGACGAAACCGTGGAGCTTGTGCATGAAAACACCCCAAGCGGTGTCAAATAGCTCTACGGCTTATGATCTGCTCGGCAATGGCCTCGCTGATCTTAGTCAAGCCAGTCTCCTGCCAAATATTGGTTTGGCAGGTGAAAACTGTGTACTGGGAAATGGTAATAAGTTTTGTGAATATTCCGTGCATGAAGCAAAGTTGTCTGCTGAAATGAAGCCAAAGCTACTTGAGCAGCTCTCGGGCAAGGGTGAAGCAATGATGGAATATTCCTTTAGAAGACAGCATCATGGAATATTCCATTTTTCCCCGGCACGGCCACGTTTTCTCCATCGAAGGAAACTTCTAATTCTTGATATAAATGGGCTTCTTGCAGATATAGTTTCTCCTCCTCCCAAGGACTATAAAGCAGACATAAATATTGCTAGACGGGCAGGTGAATTGCTAACTTTGTTTATCGAGTTTATCGGTTTATCTTGTCTTTTATGTTCACTGGCTGAGATTATATTCATGCTGCTTCTTCTTTAGTTTTCAAGAGACCCTTCTGCGTTGATTTTCTGAAGTTCTGCTTTGAAAGATTTGATGTGGGCATATGGTCATCAAGAAACAAGTATTACTAGTTCAATTCAATTTCTCTCTCTCTCTCTCTCTCTCTCTCTCTCTCTCTCTCTCTCTCTCTCTCTCTCTCTCTCTCTCTCTCTCTCTCTCTCTCTCTCTCTCTCTCTCTCTCTCTCTCTCTCTCTCTCTCTCTCTCTCTCTCTCTCTCTCTCTCTCTCTCTCTCTCTCTCTCTCTCGCATTGGTAGTTCTGGGTTTACATGCTGAGTTGGTTGTTCATCTCTGCAGGAAGAATGTGGAAAGAGTGGTTAATTATCTTCTGGGAGATATGAAGCATAAGCTGCTTTTTTGTTGGGTAGGCATTGTTTTGCTTTTAATGGGCACATTTAGTTCTTAGACAGTGGTCCTGCTTGCTGGTTTTCGGATGAGTTATAGTTTTCATATTCCGCATGGTGGTACTGATCACAATTTCATCTGTAAAATTTGGTGTGCATTGAATTCTCCTCTTGACTTGAAACATTGTCTTCTGAAATCTTATTCACCGAGATACTTAATCTGATGGTTGTGACCATTTGGCTGCTCCTGTTTTCGGCTGTTCCTGCCAACTTCCATAACTAAGTTGAGCAGGATGACAACCCTGGTACCTTAAAGATACTGCAGTTTTGCCTTAAATTTACCTGGATAAAGACCAGGTGCACCTAGTGTGTGACTGTGGTCATTCTTTAATCAATGGGGAATTGTATGGGCCTCTAATTTAAGCACAATCTGTCTGGTGCACCTAGTCCCACGTACACTTAACAAGGCTTCAATTGTCCACTTCAGGTAATTTGGAAGAAAGTTATGGCCTTCTGTTTGCTCCAGTGGTCCTGCCCAATTTCTGCATGTCCCAATCATAATGTGATGTACATAGTTGTGTTTTGCTTTTGACACGCACTGATATTTACACACTAATGACAACATTATATGCTAGTTGTGTTTTTATTTCTCCTTTGCCCTGTCGCTTATTTTTGTGTCCAATGTGATCTCACATAGATAGCATTAGATTTAAGAACTGGTGAGAAAGAGTGCTTCATCAATGTGAAGACTAATTTCAGCCAACAGCAATCCTAATTGCATATACAAACTTCAGGTAGCTTTCTATATGAATAAGGTGCAAATTTGAAGGCATTTTTTTTATGCTGATGTCCTTATTTTTAATGGTAATTCTTATTTGAGAGAAATGGTGCGCGGTTCAAAGACTTTTTTTGATGCTGATGTCCTTGTTTTTGGTTTTTATCTTTGTTTGACACTAACCATGCAGAATTGGAACTTAATTAACTGATGCTGCGTAATGATCTGGTAGGATCTCTCACATTGCACTGCTACAAGGTTTAGAACACTAGAAAACAAGCATAAGGCCTTGGTTTTTAAGGAAGTCAGGAGACTATGGGAGAAACATGAGTCTAGCCTTCCATGGGAAAAGGGAGAGTACGATGAATCAAATACGCTGTTATTAGATGATTCCCCTTATAAGGCCTTGCTCAACCCTGTGAGTTGTCCCCTTTTCTTGATCCTTGTGTTCGTCTGCTCGCATGGTCTTGGACTTTGATTTGTACTAATGAAAATTAACTTGCAGCCCAACACTGCAGTCTTTCCCAACTCTTACAAGTTTCAGAATGAGAGTGATGTTTCCTTAGGTATGATGCTCGATAGTTTATTTTTCAGAAAAATGGTGCTTATGTTGGGGCGTTTGAGTAGTTACAGCAATGTAAATAATGTTTATGTTGGTCCTTGTAATATTTGAATAGGCCGTGTCATCTTTTTTCCAGACCCTCAATCTCGTTTTGCTCTTGCTTTTGGCCAAAACAATAATGGTGGCTGGACCTATCTTACTTTTCACATGGTTGCATGAATATCCTGTCATTCCATGTCTTGTTGAAAAGTAAATTTAGTTTTGGGTTGTCCTTGCAGACTTCTTTTTTAATAGAATAGCTAATATTGGCACAATGTGAGTTGAGACATTAGTGACATTTGTGTCAGGTAATGGAGGCGACCTTCGTGTTTATCTGGAAGAGCTAGCTGCAGCCAATGATATACGGCAGTATGTGGCACAACATCCATTTGGTCAAACAGCAATTTCTGAAGAAAGTAAATCTTGGCGTTTCTACCTCAAAGTCGTGAATACAGTAACGCCACCAGATCACCCATACTTCTCAGCTCAGGCTCGTCCATGACTCTTTGTTTTGATCAGCTGTGATGCAGATGGTTGGGAATCCGTGTCCCGTCATCCAAGTTCTTTGAGACAACTTCTTACATGCCAAATCATCGAGTCTCGTTTATGCTTCGTGCATGAATTGTGCCGATGTGGTCGCTCTGAAGTAAAGTGCTCAGGTGGTCTTCTAATTTCAATTTTCTTTTTTGTTCATGCCGTAACTATAGACTCGTTGATCGAAGAATATGGTGAGAAGAGTACCTGCTTTGGAAGTTACAGTTAACTTGATTTGCAACATAGATTGATTTATTCTCGTTGACTGCACGGAGCTCTAATCATTGAAGAATGAAGCAATTACAGAAAAGAGTCTTTTTTGTTTTTTGTTTTCTTAGTTTTTCGGTAGTGAGAGTAGCCATTTTGATTGGTTTGGCAGGATCAACAGCATGTCGACGCCTTATGAACATTCACATTTGGTTGTATATTCTGGCTGCTGGTAATTTTTCTTACACTTGAATACTTCTCTAAATGGAAGTTCTCACTTTGAGTTTGGAATGCCTCCCTGATAAAGTCGTGTTTTTCATGACTGACCGAACAGAATTTGTGGAATAAGTCTGATTTATTAGGAAATCCAAAACAGAGGATCTTGAATAGCATTTGAAATTCAGAGGAATTACGTCGGGGGTCCATTGAACAATTGGATATATGCCTGGCCCGTTCACGGAAAATGGAAACGGAAACGGAGCTGTTTTCGAGCGGATCCGAAGAATTCAGACCCCCAGCGCCTTAACTGGCGTTTTCCACCAGAGATGTCAATTTTACACAGCTGTATTCGCACTATTCTTTCCCTGCAGTCGGGCATGTGCAGTACTGTTGTCCAAGGAACCGTTGGCCATTCTCGTTAGTTCAGGTTCAGTCCCGGCTTTCGTGGCGAACGACGTTTTTGTTTTGACCTAATTCCAGTTTTGTGCAGTTCCGCAACTCTTACCGACGATCATTCCACTTGCAACTCTCGCCCCAAGCGTGAAAAGAAATGGGCGGAACGCACAAATGGCCATTACACCAAATTGAGTGAATGGTCAATCCATGGTTCAAACCATAGAATGGACACTACAGTCTTCCATCAAATGTCACAAAAATACTCACACCAGTTTGGTAGTCTATGCGAGCGTATCCCCTTTTTCCTTTTAATGTTATTATACAATAACCTATCTACGAGACAACTTTGACATATCAACATTATTTCTTGCCATTCTAATTTTTTCAACGGGGGAAAGATTGCTCCTAATTTTTCTTCCACACCACTTCTTAGTAAAAACTACAAATTGGAAAGTCAAGGATAATTTCAAACTATTTCCTCTTGCCGTTCCATCCCAACCGCATTTCATCTGATGTTATCGAAAGCACCAGAGGCATCATCAAATTCTTCATGAAGATTTCCATCCAAGTAACCCAGAAACAGTACCACCAGAAGCAATCTGACAAAATCTGAGATTAACCAATACAATTGCTTGCTCTAAAATGGAAATTTATCATCATTCAACAAAACCATGGAACTATAGCAGGCAGGAAAAAAAATTCAAAGACTGCAACAAACATAGATAAAGCAACATCTAAAGCATTATTCCTGTGCCATAATAAGTAGATTTATCAGCAGTAAACCATCCATCTGAAAGCAAGAATTTTTATTTGGAAAGAATCATTGGCTGACAACAGCTAATTGCTCAACTGGTATCATATAGCTCATGTACTTGTTATACAATCTACCTTTTAGCACGTCACCATAATCAGTATCAGTCAATATGTCACACAGAAATTCACTAGCATTAACTAAAATGCAAAACAAAGCTCTCCTGCTAGATTCTCAGAAATGTTGAAAGTCTAACCGAACAAACTCAATGTACAACTAAGCTGGATCATGTGCACTTTCCACAGAATCCTCTGCAACTTTCTCAGAACTTTTTTTCTTGTCATCATCAGAGTAACTTTTCCCATGCCGAGGGGAACCCCAAATAAGACCCTCGTTCTCAAAGCTCGAGTTTGGGTTTGCATTGAAGGACCTTTTGCCGGTCCTAATCTTGAACTGCACAGGTGGTCTTTGGCTCGGAAAAACCTTTTTCTGACCCTCATCGGAATCATTCAACCCGCCTTTCATCGATTCAATGCCTGGGACAAATGCTTCCAGTGCAGATATTTTACCATATATTACCTGCTTTTGTCCTACATGATCGCCAACCGCTGCTTGACTGGAGAGCTTAGCAGGAAGAACAGCCGGAGATACTTCTTTCTCACCAAAATTCAGAGGTGCAGCGAGATATGGATTAGTTACTGCTGCTTCTTTCAGCTTAGCAGCATTCCTCTCATCAACTGGGGGAGGACCTTCTAATCCGTTGATAGAATGCAACAGCTGCACACTCAATGAAGACTGCTGGTCAGGCTTTTGATCGCCTTTTCCATGTTCAACATCTACAAGTTGAGGATCCTTAGCACCGTTCTCCTGCATTGGCAACTGAACATGGTCTTGGGTATCAGGAAATGGAGGCAACCAAGATGGAATATGTTCATGAGGAGGCTCCACTCCAGCTTGCAAGAAACTTGGAGTCTGCTTTCTATCTCTAATGATAGGTAACTGAGGAAGAGCATAGGCAAATGGTAACTCATCAGAATCACCCACATACTGCAATAGTTCACGTACTACACCTGACTGCACTAGGCAGTGATCTATATCCGAAGCACCCACAAAACCAAAACCCAAACTTAAATCTTCTAGTCCTTGGATAACATCAAAAACACTAATCTCTGTTCTACCTGCCAAATTAGCATACAAGAGCACTGTCTTTCCTACATCATGTATGTATCTAACTGCTACATCAGAGAATGTCTCGAGCGCCGACTGCTGAAAAGCCTGAAACCCTTCAGTTTCACACACTTGCGCAACAGCAATCTTTGCAATGGCCCGTGCAAAATTGTCGACACCGGATTTTCTGTGACCGCTTGATATTTCATGTTCCCTTCTGTTCTCCCGACCCCCATCACTCATATTCAATACCTCATATCACTTCAACGAAAGCAGTAATAACCCATTATCCGCATTGTTCGTTAGCAATGCAATTATTAACCTGCTCGAACGATAACAAAATCAGGAACAAACTTCGGAATTCCATTTCCTTAAAAACCCATATTCAGACAAAGCAAGAAAATCAACTATTTCAATTAGCTGGCGGTTCAACCGCAATTCTGTCAAAACCCTCAAGAAAAAAACGCGAGAACTTCGACGAGAAAGATTTATAAGTAAAAAACAGGCCTTCATTTACACGCATAATCTCCACAGATCTCCTTTCTTTCTTCTCTCTCTATTTCTTCCGCAACTGACTGAAGTCAAACTAAGCTCAATCCTTGAGGGTTCCCCACGGACCAAGACCTCAATCTACGCACACCAGCAACAACACAAGGCAAGCTCAAACCGTGCGCCGATCTTTACCATGAAGCAAAGCAGGAATCAACGGGACCAACAACGGAACCAACACAAACCCTAATGCCCCCGCGCTCCCAGAACGCGAAATCCCAAAAGCGAGCCCGAAGGAGCTCGAGAAAGAAGCAAGTCAACCAGTGCACCAGTGCTCACCTCCGAACTTCTTCAGAGCCCTGCAATTCGCATCCCCGCAAGCTGTTCACGGATCGAGCTCCACCACCCACCAGCAGAAACGGGGTAATAGGGCCTGGAATTTGACTCAGGGAGGCTTCGCGAGACGGATACATGCGCAGAAGAAGCTCGCGAGCTCTGTGCTGTAATGGAGGTTCAAGAAACCTGCTCGGTAAAACCACGGAATCCGGGAAGAAGTCTTGCCGAGCCCGGAGAGAGGGAGACAGCAATTCGTGCTAGGCCTTTATTACAGTGTTGGAACGAAATGACGAGAGGGGGATTGTTTTCCTAGTTCTTGTTCTTTTTTTTTTTTTCTCGTTAACGAGAGACAACGGTCTAAACTCGAGGGCCTTCATGGAAAATATCTTTTTTTAGGGAAAATTCAAAGTAAGGGCTTAAAGCACTATCGTTTTCTCAATGAGGACTTAAAGTAGATCCTGTTTCAAGTAAGGTCTTAAAATTGCCATATCAGTCTCAAAGAATGGCTTGACCTCGCCTGTCATGTCCCGAACCTTACGAGTTCGCAACATCCCATCTTCTCGATCTTTCGAATGCGACATCCCAAGACTTGTCGCTGACCCGATATAACTAACTTACGAGTAACACATGCGGAAGCAAACTCGAACACTCCATTCAACAATCAAATAAACGAGATAGCAAAAGAAACACCATATAAACAAACATCGAAGCCATTATATAACATACTATCAACCCTAAGAAGATACCATTTACAAGCCTGACTAAATGCCACTTCCTATAAAACTACTCGCATACACAAAAAGGAATCGGTAGTCGGGTCGACTTAGCTCCTCTAACAACAAGGACGGTCCAAAAAGGATGGGGTATCCAAACCCATCATCAATCCCCATTGTACCCCGGAGGCGTTCCCGGATCAGACTCTAAATAATTTGGGTCAGAATCTAAACTCTCGGGTCCAGTGTCAGGATCATTGACAACTTCGTCGGGAGGATCTATCTCCATGGGATCCCACTCAGCAACTCCCAAACCGCCATCATGGGGAAAATCAAAACCTCGAAGAGGATCGAACAAAACGTCCCCCTCTCAATAAAATCAAGCCAAAAAGGTATGTGGCTTCCACAACGCCAAACCTTCATCTACCCAAGCCATCGACGCATGCCTAATATAAACCTTATCCTCTCCTACTGGGTACTCCGTTAACATATGATCCATATCTATAGGTACCCCAAAACGTTAAGGAGGATCATTCATAGTCGGGGGTCTGAAATGGTTAATAACAACAACAATGAGATAAAACTCAATTAGTAAACTCCCTAAGCCTCTCTTAGGGTAACACGTATCTCCAGACAATCCTAAACATGCAATTCCAATATCCAACATGCTATGAACAACCACAAGCACCCTTACCTCGCTTTGGCACATACAATACAATTCATGGCATAAATGTGTGTAATACAATTAACAATCCAAGCATATTCAACATCGATTTCAGGCACATAGCATTTCCCAATGCATAACACATGCGTAATTGTCCAGATTATTAACGACCTATTGGGCCACACCGAACCCCCGCCGATCTTCCGGTTTAGCCGGGCGTCGTCCCGCTACTTCGGACACGGCAACATCTGGGATCGAACACCACCGGACAAGCGGGGTAACAGATGGCATTCCATTAAGAAGTATTGATTCGGCCTCCACCACGACACGGCATTGTCTAGAACCCCCACCTAGGCGGCATCCGAACTTTCGCCGGGTATCGTCTAGAACCCCCGCCTAGATGGAACTATCATGACCATGCACACACATCATTCACTCAATGCCAATTCTTATCTTTGCGATTAGCCAAAGTGGAGTGTTTATGACGTGCAAATTTCTACGAACGAACGTGTCATGAATCGCACCCGTTACAATATCAAACATCATTAACTAATCACAATTAGTCATTGAATCACATAATTAGCCATGATTAACCACACAATCTACTATCAAGATACATGATTAACATCTAACCATATGATTTACCATCAAATAACCATGATCAGCCATCAATCACCATGATCAATCACAACTAAGCAAGATCAACCAATCCAAGCCACATAATTAACTATTAGCACATGACCAACCAATCCAAGCCACATGATTAACTATTAGCACATGATCAATCAATCCAAGCCACATGATTAACTCTGATCACATGATCAACCAATCCAAACCACATGATTAACTATTGAACCACATGATCAATAATCAAAAACATGATAAGCCATGATCAATTCATTCTAGCCACATGATTATTTATTAGCACATGATCAACCAATGATCAACCAATAATCAACCACATGATTGCCATAAACACATGATTAGCCACATAAGCCACATGATCAATATTAAGCCACACGATTAACCCAAATCAGCCATACCCTAATCAACCCCCAATTAATCACTAATCAGCCCCTAAACTAGTCCATTAGTCACTCATCAACCTAATCAAGGTTTAGGAAGTTACTTATCACTAAACCAAGCTAACTTAAGCCAATAAGAGGCAATAACCACCAGCGGCGAGCAGCGGCACAAGCGGCGGACGGTGGTGACGGTGGCTGGTCACGGCGTGAACGGCGGCTAGAGGTGGTGGTCCACGTGTGGTGGTGCTAGTGGTGGCGTGATGGTGGTGGCTAGTCGGTGATGATGGTGGACAATGGGGTTTGGCCAAACAAGAAGGAGAGTGAGAGAGTGAGTGAGTTAAAATGACTGATCTGAAAATAATGGAGGAGAGAGAGAATGGGCTGGTAACTCTATCCAAAATGAAGGGCTAAGGTCACTCCTTGATCCTTAAGTCAGATCCTAAGGCCACAATTTAATCTTCCAAGACAAGCCAAACAAGAGCAAATAAGAAAATAACAAAAGACAAGAGGGGAAAATCTGTCCTATGTTGGTTGGCCACACTAGGGAGGGCACAAAGGACCAAAATGCCCTTCCACACAACAAAGAGATCTTAAAACACTTAGGGGTAAAATGGCATTTTTCAATTTCCGGTCCGAATTTCACTTTTCCAAGAATTTCCAAGCGAACCGATAACTAGGTGAGCTTAATGAGGCGACATCCAATAGATTAGTCTTGATATCCTTGAAAGTTCAATACCCAAGTTCGAATTATAATTCATGGCCAAAATCGATCAATTGTGACTTTAGTATATCTCAAACTAACGGACGGCTTTTAGGAGTTACGCATATTCGACCCGTGGTTGATTCGATATCAAGCCACGTTTTAGTTTACTCAAGGCATGGTGACTTCGGTTGTCATGTAATGTAATTGAGAGGGTAAATCACTAGTTCCGAAGGACACGATCATTAAGAATTGGTCTAGAGTCGTTTGCAATCCATACAATGGTCAAACGGAATCACCCGCGTTTCAATTGTATAACATTGGCAAATCGTTCCATGACTATCTCTTGATCGGTCTATAATGGCCCAAAATTGTCCCTCGTCAATCCTTGTGGTCGAAGTGTCAAACTATGGTCGAGTCCTTAGGTCGTGCATACTTAATTCCTAATTGGCTTTTCCCTAACGGTTAGTCTTCTTATGAGTGATTAATTCTGAGCGAGATTTAACTAAAAGTGTATCGATGAAATATTCATTTCATAAATCCCGAAAAAGGGTCGAAATTCAGAATGTCACATCGCCAGTTGAAGGGCATTTTTGTTCTTTATTTTTTAAATTTTTTTCCCTCTTTTATTTCTATTTTTCCTTTTTTGTTTTTTATTTTCCTTTTTTATTTTTCTTTTTCTCTCTTCCATTTGCCGATCATTGTTGAGCCTCATCAATAGAGGTAGAGGTCGCTGGACTCTAGCGAGGGCCGCCCTCGCCTGGCTAGCCCAGGCGAGGCAACCCTCACCGAATCTAGCGAGGAACACCCTCACCAGATTGTACGGTGGTCGCCCTCGCCCACCCAATAGAGGGTGACCCTCACTTGAGGCTGGCGACCTCTACTAGCTATCAACAAGGCGCGACCATAGCTGGGGGAGGGAAAAAGGAAAAAGAAAAAGAAAGGAAAGTAAAAAAAATTAAAAAAAATTAAAAATATATATATTTAGAATTTTTTGTACTAAAATACTCCTTCTCCAACGGACGGAATAGTCACATGTTGGCCGTCCGACCAAAAGTCCTTATTTAAGATGATTTAGCCACTTCATGCTTTTATTTGAATTTTTTCATATATTTTTTTATTGGAAAATAGCACAAATGATTATGAACTTTGGTCTACTGTGCAATGTCGTCGTGGATTTTTAATTTATTCAATGTGGTCTTTGAATTTTGATCAAATGTAAAATGTCATTCTTAAACGTTTAATTTATTTAATGTGGTCCTTGAACTAATGGTAAATGTTCAATTTAATCCTTAAACTAAGTGAAAATGAAACAAACATAAGGACTACATTAAACATTTACCTATAATTCATGGACCACATTGAATAAATTAAAAGTCTAGGAACGACATTACATATTGAGCCAAAGTTTAGGAATTATATTGCAAAAATTAAAAATCTAGCGAGGACATTGCACATTTGATCAAAGTTTATGAACTATTTGTGTTATTATCCTTTTTTTAGGGAAAACAACATAAACAGTCCTTGAACTTTTGATTTGTTCAATGTAGTCTCTGAACTTTAACATAATGTGCAATATGGTCCCTCAACTTTTAATTTGTTTATTGTTGTCCCTGAATTTTTAGTACCTATTTAATTTTTTCCATAAACTATATAAAATATTTAATGTAGTCTTTCCATTAATTCAAGTTCAAAGACTACATTGACCATTTTCATATAGTTCAGGGACTACATTAAATATACACCAAAAGTCCAAGGAAAAATTCCAATTAAGGACCCCAAGTGAGGTCCTTTTCTCAAAAGATGACCCAAAGTGAATATGGTGTCAAATAAGGACATGAAGTGCCCAATCAGTCTCAAATAGGGGCCCGAAGTACTCAATTTGTCTCAGGTAAGGGCCTGGATTCGCCGGCCGGTCAAATCTCGCCGGCCGGCGAGCACAGTTACTGTTCCGACAACCGGAACGGTACATTTCATCTCTGTTTTTTTTTTCTTTTTTTTTTCTCTTCCCTCCGCCGGCCATAGCTGGGGCCGGTGGAGGTCACCGGCCTCAGGCGGAGGCTGCCCTCGCCCAACGCCGGCGAGGGTCGCCCTCGACTGGGCTGGGCGGGTGAGGGCGACCCTCGTCGGCGGAGGGCGAGGGCCCGAGCTCGTCGGCCATCTGGGCGCCGGCGAGCTCTGCCTAGATCTAGG